AAATTAACCACTCAAAAACTGGAAGTGATTCTGTGGCTCGAGTGGTAGAGCGCTAGCCTTGAGCATAAAAGTGGCTCAGGAATAGCACCCAGTCCCTGAGTTCAAGCCCACAACTGACATGTGCTTCAGATATCATTAAAACTTTCTCAAGAACAAAATGCACCAAATGCAGAGTAAATGGGCCTTTAACCAAATGCCCTGAACCAAATAAAACCCACATAAGAAAACTGAGATGACAAGCTATTTACACTACAGCCAGCAAAAAAAAAAAAAAGCAGATTTGCACTTTTGATAACAACCCTCCTTCAGAACTGTCCATTTCCTTTGGTTTATATTTCAGTAAGGTTAGCATCTTTTTAGTCTATTGACTTAAGTTTTCCCTTCCTTACAGCTATGAACTTGTATTTCCCTTGTCTTCTCTTATTTCTCCCAAACTTTCTCACAATTCACCCAAGTGGCTTTTTACCAGAATTCCTTATTTAGAAAACCTTCCCCCTTCCCTCTGACTGTAGGCTGAAAGCATCCTGTTACTATGGAAGCTTCATTTCCTTGCAGTCCAGGCCTGGTCTATTTCTTCAGCCTGAATTTGCTTTACTCCATTAAAACAGAAAATCATTCAAACCATAGCCAGGCACTGAACCACCTATCAACTTGTACCCAGCCAGTTACTCATCTGATGTGCCTTGTCAAGGGGCAGATGACCTTGTATTCCATCTATCCAACCATGTACCCCAATTCTCCCTCTCAAATTCACAAAGCCTAAACCAAATATATCCTAAAGTTTACATCTGTAAATTCTGTTTCTCAAGGCAAAACAGCCTCAATAAAGAAAGGACCTATGGGCAGAAATGAGCCTACTTGCAAAAATATACTTTTATGTGTTTAATCCTTTCCACACTTGTTGTCTGGGAATGAAGAGATGGAAGAAAGAAAAACTGCACATTACAAGTATTTCACGAAGGTGATTTCATTTTATTTTCAGAACTGTCCTGGAAGGCACTCTTGGCAGGCATTTATTAGATGTCATTTACACATAACAAAACTAAACATGAAAAAGGTTTCAGTAGATAGATGCTGGTGGCTCATGCTCATACCTATAATCCTAGCTATTCAGGAGGCTGAGCTCTAAGTATTGTGCTTCAAAGCCAGCGTAGACAGGAAAGTCTGTGAGACTTTTATCTCTAAAAACTGTCACAAAAGCCAGAAGTGAAGCTATAGCTCAAATGGCAGAGTGCAACCTTGAATACAGAAAGCTTAGACACAACACCTTGACCCTGAGTTCAAGTTCCAGGACTAACACGCGCACGTATGTGCGCGCGCGCGCACACACACACACGCACACACACACACACACACACACACACACACACAAAGGTTTCAGTGACTTGTTGAACCAATGTCACATGACTAACTCTGATCTATACTAAGGTCTTGACTCCTCCAATCCAAAGAATGTCTACTACTTACAAACTAGCCAAGGGGCAAGCTCCTAGAGAGTCAGTATTTCAAAGCAAAGGCACTATTCCCCTTTAACCAACAAGCTTGAAAGCCATCTTTAATCTTCCACACAGAAAGCAATTCCTTTCTCTTTCTTTCTTATGCCACTTTTAACAACTACAGCTTTCCAAAATAAGCCCCAATAGCTCTTGTTTCTAAGGCACTTACTCATAAGTCACTAATAGTCCAAAAAGTTTGCATCAGCATATGATCTTCTCAATAAAGTTCAGGGCTGATGCAACATTTCTGTCTCAGACTTTATAGTTAAAATGCCAGGAACATATAACAGTCAAAAATTATGCAAGACAATGCTACAGTTGTTTTTTTTTTACTCCACCACATCTGTCTCTATGGGTCTCTTATGAGTCACTGTCTTTTGTGTTCAGTCATAATTATAAAAACTGCCATTTTCTACCCTAAAATTATGTTGTTGTTTTTTAAAGAAAAGCTCTACAATAAAAATGGAACCCTATTATGTCTTTCACCACCTCCCTAAAGCACTGACCTCCATGCTAGTACCACGGATGGCCCTGTTCTGATTTTCACAATCATTATTTTACACAAACAGGAAAAGAGGCATAGTCAAGAATGTGAAGTAGGTTAGAATAAGGCATAGAGGAAATTAGAAAATACTTTTAAAAAAAGATAAGACCATCCCAGGAGCTGACAAAGACAAGGAACTAAGGCAGAAAAATCACTAGAACCACAAGGAATTCAATCAACTGTTCAAGAAGGAACAATATTCTTTCTATCACTGTCCCATCTCTCTTAGATTTAAATGAGATACACTGCTAGGTGAGAAATTTGAGTCAAGGAACAGAAAGTGCCAGGCTTTGGTAAATTTGTGACCAGAAAGATCACCTAAAAAAAGACCATAAGGAACACACGCAAGACCCATTGTGTCCATACTTGGGTTATAGTATTCAAACAGGATAACTGGAAAGTTGCTATGTGACCATACGTTCAGGTGATCAATTTTGAACTGAAAACCTCCAGCCCAATTAGGGAACATAAATACCCCCAGGATAAAGAGGGCCCTCAGAACCTAAGCTCCCACTTGATTAACAAACTTGTCAGAAAGTGTAGCTCTTCCAACACCTTTGCTGGGTAGGACTCTGATTATTGAAAGCATTTTATTTCCAATCAGGAAAAATAATCATCTTTTTAAAAAGAGTACTTTTTAAATTGTGCACATTGGTAGTACTATTCTGTAGACCCATGAAAAAGCACTATAAAGGAGTTAACTGGCTAAACTTGTAACTTGTAAGGGAATAGTAAGGGCTGAAATTTAGGTTGGGGAGTCAAGAATTAGGTTTGCTCGCCTTTTCCCTATCCTACTTTTTTGTCTTCCTCCACTAAGTAAATCTATGCTGGCTGCTACTTCTGTGCCACCTTCAAGGATTCCTCTGAAAGGATTTCTTGCTTAAGTTAATAAGTTCCTAGATCTTGGTAAGTGATCAGCAAAACTGTGGAGAAGAGAAGTGAGTAGTGTTCCCCATTACTTTTGAAGAAACTTCCTCTTTTCTGAACAACCTCCTTGTGACAGTTACAGTTCACTTATTTATTAATCTAAATAAACACATGAGATCTTATCAGATACCAGGGACAGAGACTCACAAGCACACAAGAACTGGCCCTCAACTCACAGCCAGGTAGACAGGAAAAATAATGAAGCCATCACAGAATCAATTGAAGGGGAGAGTACAGACCTGGGGTCATCCATGGGTGGCTTCCTGGAAGAAGTGGTCTACTAGCATTTATAATCATTTATATCATTATTTAGTACAAAACAGACCTAAAACATTCAGTTCAATTCCATAACAGGTTATAAGATCTACTAGCCAACAGTCCAGTTAAAAATCTAACTTAAGAAGCCAAACATGGCCCAGCACCATAGGCTCAATCCTGTAATCCTAGCTACTCAGGAGGCTGAGATGTGAGGATCATGGCTGGAAGCCAGCTCTGGCAGGAAAGGCCATGAGACTTTAATTAACCACAGTAAATCCAAAGTGGTGCTGTGACTCAAGTGGTAGAGTGCTAGCCTTGGGTGAAAAAACTCAGGAAAAGTGCTCAGGCACTGAGTTCAAGCCCCATGACCCCACCCCCACCCCCACACACAAAGCCCCCTACAGGTTGCTTCACACCTGTAATCTTCTTAGCTCCTCAGAAAGCTGAGATGGGATAATCATGGTTCAAAGCCAACCTGGGCAGGAAAGTTCATGAGACTCATCTCCAATTAACCACTAGAAAACTAGAAGTGGGGGAGCATTAGCCTTGAGCAAAAAAGCTCAGGAACAGTGCCCAGGCCCCAAGTTCAAGCCCCAGGACAGACCAAAAACAAAAAACCTAACTTAAGAGCAGGCTTATTCTTGACTCCCTGTTCTAAATTTCGTACCAGGTTTAATCAACTCAAATCCTCGATAGTGACTTCAGACCAAGTTTAACCAATCCCAATCCTCTATAGGGCCTTTTCACATGTCGGCAGAATAGGACTACAGATGTGCGCAATTAAATAAAACGAACTTAAAAAAAAAAAAAAAAAGATCATCATTTCTTCCTCACTGGAAGTGAAATGCTTCCAGTAACCCAAGGCCTACACAGCAAAGCTGTCGGAAGAGGAAACTGAGGTTCGAACAAGCCCCACTTTAGTACAACAGACTGAAAGATCTCTTTGACCATCACAAGAGCTTGAACCAAACAGAGACACACAGAAGGCTTATTATGGGGCCCTGGCCTCCAGATAGGCCCCCCGACCCGTCGCGATGGTAAACAAACCGGCCTTTGAGCTGGGAGCCGCTCTGGTGGCCTGACAAAACCTTACAGTGGAAGGACTGTCCCTCCATTCACTACTTCCCACGGGGGCTCGTGGGCTAGCCCGCTTGCAAGGCTGATGGCCTGTAAACCCTAAGCACAGACACCTTTCAAAATCAAAAAGAAGGAAAAGGAAAACCAGCCTGGCTCTGAAGACCCCTCACACGCGAGTGTGGACCAGGAAGGGACGGCGCGTCCGCTGCGAGGAGCCCCGCGCACCGCGATTCCGTCCACGCCCCTGCCTGCCCCGGCCCGCGCCGGGCAGGCCGAGCAGGCTCGCCCGAAAGCGGGGTCCCCAACAAGTGGGCTCCCGAGTCGGGCGGGCCCGGACCCCGCACGCCGCCCCCACTCCCGCGCCATCCCTCCCCGCTCTTCCCCGCCGCGGGACGGGGCGCGACGGCCAAGCGCGGTCCCCTCAGGACTCCCGGGGTCTCCCCACGGTGGCGGGTCCCTCACGGTCCCGACCCCCGGGCCCCGTCCCTGCCACGCCGGGCTGCCCCCACCCCCCGGCCCGGGCGCCGCGCTCCCCGCGCTCCCCGCGCTCGGCCCCTCCGGGCCTCGGCGCCCGCCCCGGACCCCGGGGCCGCGGCCCGCCGCCCCCCGGCACGCGGCAGCCCCCCTGCCCCCCCGGCCGGCGCCGCCCCGCCCCGCCCCGGCTCCCGCGCGGGGCCCCCGCCCGGCGGGCCGCGCACCGTGTGGGACTGCAGGCTCTGGCTCGCCTCGATGGCGGCGGTCAGCGGCACCGTGTCGTCCAGCAGCACCTTGCCGGCCGGCGGCTTCTCCATGAAGGCCATCCCGGGCCGCCGGGCCGCCCCCGCCGCCGCCGCCTCAGATCGCGCGGCAGGAACCGGAGGCGCCGAGTCCCGCCGCCCGCCGCGCTCCGCCGCCGCCGCCGCCACCGCCGCGGCTGTCAACACGCGCCGCCCCGCGCGCCGCCGCCGCCCGCCGGGTCCTAACGCCGCCCGCCGCGCGCCCGGCCTCCCGCCGGGTCCTAGCGCCCCGGCGCCCGGGTCGCCGCCTGGGACTGAACCAACTGTAGGGCCAGGAGAACGGCGAATGTCACTCAGCACGACTGACTCAGCATCCTTAGCATCCGACCTGGGACCCAGGGACGCGAACACCCAAGCCACAGGTGTTGATAAAGTATTTTTCCTTGACAGGCTATCAGAGAATCTATCAAGAGTTATTAAGCAGGGAAATCAAAAGTTTTGTTGCAGGAACTTAATAAATACTTGATTTTTTTAAATCGGGTGCTGGTGATTAATGCCGGTAATCTGAGCTACTCAAGAAGCTGAGATCAAGGTGGCTCAGTGGTAGAGTGTTTGCCTGACATGCATGAGACCCTGGGTTCGATTCCTCGGCACCACAGAAGCAAAAAGAAAAAAGCCGGAAGTGGTGCTGTGGCTCAAGTGGTAGAGTGCTAGCCTTGAGCTGAAGAGCTGAGGGACAGTGCCCAGGCCCAGAGTTCAGGCCTCACGACCGACCCAAAAAAAAGCTGAGATCTGAGGATCACAGCCTGAGGCAGGAAAGTGCAAGAGACTATCTCCAATTAACCAGCAGCAGAAAGCCAAGTGACACAGACACAGTCACACACACACACACCCTAAGCCAACACTCCCTGGAAATCAAGATTCCAAGACTCAGTATGCCCTGGGATCCAGAAACCATCTGGCCCAGAACCTGACAAGCCACGTTGGGAATTTCAGACTTAACTGGAAAAAATTTTTAAAGGCTAGGGGACTGAAACCCTTAGAACTGTAAACTCTCACTAGTGCTTCCCATGCCCACCCACCATAACATTCAGAAAAAGAACCTTCTTGGTGGACGTTGACGTTCAATCTGAGCCCTGCAGAGCCAGACTTTCTAAAACAAAACCTTCTGAAGCATGGTTTACAAAAAGGGACCCTGCAACCTGAAACCTCAAACTGGAAATCTTAAGAGTTGCACCTCCAGAACTGGACCCTTCAATTGGAGACTTTAGACAAGAACTTCAGATCCAACCATTAAAAGTTGGGGAGGGGCTGGGAAGGTGGTTCAATGGTAGAGCGCTTGCCTTGCATGCCTGAGGCCCTGGGTTCGATTCCTCAGCACCACATAAGAAAAAAGCCGGAAGTGGCGCTGTGGCTCAAGTGGTAGAGCACTAGCCTTGAGCTGAAGACTGAGGGACAGTGCCCAGGCCCAGAGTTCAGGCCCCACGACCGGACCAAAAAAATAAAATAAAATAAAAATAAAAGTTAGGGACTCCCTATCCCCAAATACTAGTTCAAAGACTTCCAGCTTCTACCCTTGGCCCTAGCTTTCAGCTCAGCCTACAGGGAGGTCTTCAAACTTGGTCCTAACTGTACTGGCTCCAAGAACCTCAAACAGTGTTAGAGAAACTAAAGTCTGTTTGCCTGAACCAAAGACTAGTTTTCCAGGAAGTTAAACATGATCAGTATCTCCAGGCCTCCAGACTGCCAACTGAGTAACCCTTGGGTCTCCCTGAGACCTAGCTCCCTATCTACAAAATAGAGCAGATGTCTGTAGGAAGGGGCATGGTATGTAATAAACCCCAAACAGACAGACAGTGACTCACAACTCGAATCCTAGCTATTCAGGAGGTTGAAATCTAAGGATCAAGATTCAAGGCCAGCTTGGGCAGGAAGTACATGAGGGTCTAATCTCCAAATAACCACCAAAATGCCAGAAGTAGAGCTGTTACTCAAGTAGTAGAATGCCAGGATCCAGGAACAGCACCTAGGCCCTCAATTCAACACCAATGAACAAAAAGAAAAAAAAAAACTTTCCACTAAATTTCTACATTTCATTCAAGAAAACAAAGTTTCTTGATAAATTCCCACAATTTGGCATCATAGCAATGACCTAGATTATATCTAAGGAGAGAGCTCATGCTTAAGGAGATTGTTGGGCAATCCTAAATAAAGTGACAATGAAAGACTGGCTTCCGGAGTCAATGCCCAGTAGAAGGTGTGAAGGAATTACCAAAGTTCATAATGGAGCTCTCTTTTATACTCTTTATTTCAATCTCGTATGTTTAAAAGCAATCTATTAAAGCAAAACTATGTGTCATTTAGGGAGGATTCAATTTTTTGTTTTCATTTATTATTATATTGCCAGTATTATGAAACCCAAATCCTGCTTTAATCAGTACTCCTGACCTGATGGAGACTGACCAAGGCAAGGCCTTGCTCACATACTGCTGATGAGAATATAAATTGGCCCAATCTTTCTGGAAAGCATTAATTTAGGCAGCAATTATTTACTGATTACCTGTCACATAATGAGCCCAATGGTGGAAGGTGGAATTTAATAATACATATAAAGAGTTTTGAAAATGCTCTCACCTGTGACTCAGCAGAAGCCTCTGAAAGGGTTATACCTTTGATCAGAGATTTATATGTGGACATAGCATGCAAAGACAAGTGTCTAATCCCCAATATAAGATTAAACAAATCATATAGCATAATCAAATTTTTTGTTGGCTAAGGGGTGTAGCTCAGTGATAGAGCACATACTTCCAAGTGTTCAGGATGTGCAAGGTCCTGGTGTTATACGGTCCCCACCAACACAATAAACATAAATTAAATGGGCCAGGCACCAGTGGTTCATGCCTGGAATCCTAGCTACTCAAGAGGCTGAGATCTGAGGATCAAAATTTAAAGCAACCTGGGCAGGAACGCTCATGAGGCTCTTATCTCCAATTAACTACCAAAAAACCAGAAGTAGAACTGTGGCTCAAAATGATAGAACCCTAGCCTTCAGTGGAAAGCTCAGGGACAGTGCCCAGGACCTGAGTTCAAGTCCTGTGACTGAACAAAAAAATAAAAAATAAAAATAAATTAAAATGCTCTTTATATTATAGTGAAAAAGCAATGTGTGCATTTATATGATTCTAATGTATTTACAAGACACACATGGAAGGAAATATATCAAACTGTTTCTTCTAAGAAGCAGTGTCATGATAATTTCAAAATGATACTTTTCAAAATGGCACTAAGAATTTTTTTCTTTTTTGCGCTGGTAGTAGGGCTTAAACTCAGCGTGGGCACTATCCCTGAGCCTCTTTGTGCTCATAGATAGGGCTCTACCACTTGAGCCACAGCACCTTCTGGCCTTTTCTGAGTACTTGAGATATTGTGTCTCTCTTACAACGCAGACTCTTACCAAACAGACTTTTACAAAGCTTGGCTTTGAACCTCAATCCTCAGCCTCCTGAGTAGCTAGGATTACAGGTGTGAGCCACCAGCACCCAGATTCAATGTATGTTTTATGACTAGGAAAAAAAATATGTTCTGAAACCTGGGTCCAGTGCTTTAATTAGCCACTGGCACCATATGATACATATCTAAAAATAAAAAGAGGAAGTCCTAGCCGGGTGCCGGTGGCTCACGCCTATAATCCTAGCTTATTCAGGAGGCTGAGGTCTGAGGATCTCTGTTCAAAGCCAGCCCAGGCAGCAAAGTCTGTGAGACTTTTTTGTGTGTGTGTGTAAAAATACTGTACAGAAGGGTTACAATTACATGGGCAAGATAATGAGTACATTTCTTATCAAGCATTGTAGCCTCCTCCTTCATTTCCCCTTCCCATCCCTTCCCATCCTCCTCCCTCTCCCCCCCCCAAAGCTGTAAAGTTCGTTTTCGACATAACGACTTGTACATCTCATTGTTGCAATGGGTCCACCTGTCTCTCCGTGAGACTCTTCTCTCCAATAAACCACTAGAAAACTGGAAGTGATGCTGTGGCTCAAGGGGTAGAGCGCTCGCCTTGAGCTGAAGAGCACAGGGACAGCGCCCAAGCCCAGAGTTCCAGCCCCACAACCGACCAAAAACAAAAACAAAACAAAAAGAGGAAGTCCTCTCTGAATCTAGCCAGTGGGAGCTTGGATCTATTCTATGGATGAAAAGAGGCTCCATCCAATGCTTTAGTAAGAAAACCCAACTTGTAAAGAGTGGTGGTACATGCCTATCATTCCAGCACTCCACTGGCTGACACAGGATTGTAAGTTCAAGACAGCATAGGCAGTAAGACAGTAAAACTCTGCCTCAACAACAACGAAAGCCAGGTGATAATAACTCAGGCCTATATTCCTAATCAGTCAATACTGTAGTTTGAAGGCAGCCCAGACAGAAAAGTCCCAGAGACTCCATTTCCAAAATAACTAGCAAACTAGGGTGGCATAGCTGAAGTGGTAGACCCTCTCCCATGAGCAAGCCAAGCAAGTGAGAGCTCTGAGTTCAAACCCTGGTACTGGCACAAAAAAAAAAAAGAGAGAGATAAAAACATTTGTTCTTATAAATAATATAACATGCCCTGAAGAGGGCACTTTGTAAGTTACCTGTTTTTTCATAAAAGATTATGTGATTACAAGATGATACTCTGTGTATTTGTGATAGTAGTGCGTTTATTAAAATTTTTACTTAAATGCTTCTAATACTGAGGGTCTGTGGGTTATACATGGAAAAGGAAATTCCCCCCCTTCCTCTCTAGTGTTAGAGATTATTCAACCCAAGACCTCACATACTAAGCCAGCATTTTACCACTGAGCCATGTCCCCAACCCAGCCTTCCAATACTTTTGCAGAAGGATAGGATTTCAGCAGAAAGAAATAGTTGACTTTAAGGAAGCCTACAGGCTGGAACTGAGTACTACAACTGAGGTGCCAGCCACCATGAAATGACAGGAAGAAAAGAACAATAACAGCTACATTGGATCATGGGACAGTTCAAAGAGTTGAGGTTTGAGAAAGGTCTTCAAGCACCTAGGGCCTCAAGCACACTAGGCAAGAGCTCTACCACTCAGCTATACTCCCAGTCCCATGTATTCCTTTAGCAATCTCTTATTGAATGTGTTCTAGATGTCAAGACACTGTGCTCAGCATAGGAGAATGAAGAAAAAAAACACAGGCCCCCTGCTCTCAAGCTGCT